ACGCTATAAAGCAAAGAAAGTAATCAAAGAATTACACAACTGGATACTGCCATAGGAAGGGATAAATAATATTATAAACAAATTAATAGATTTGTGTGAGACGGAATATTTGATCTCACAACATGATAATGATCTTGCATCAAGAATTTGCCAAGGTTTACGTCCAGAAATTCCATCTCATATGCCTAAGTTATTAACTAAATTAATTATGGAATGTTGGGATGCTCAACCTGACAAAAGGCCAACTTCTAAAAAATTATTTACCATTATAAATAAATGGGATATGAATAGTAATAGTTTATTTGCTGGATTTATTACACCAAAGCTACCTTTCTGGAAACTACATTCTGAAGCAATTTATACAAGCAGACTTCTTGATACCTCCAATCTTCCACCACCAGTAAATACACCGGATTTTGAAAAACAGCTTAGCAAATTAGTTTCTGAAGGTATTTTTGAAGCTTTTTTAATTAAATTATTCAAACTTAACTATAGATTAATAATTAAGTTTTGTTTTTTTAGTACTTGATGACAAGCAGAATATTTTAGATAGTAAGCATCCAATACATAATTAAGTAATCAATCAATTTTATTATTGTGGGAATTTATTAATTATTGAATTTAATTTTGTAGTGCATGATAGTAAGCAGGTTGAACTTACTATTCCTGGTGGCAAGCAATATATTATCTAAGAGGTAAACTAATATTTTGATTTGTCAAAAGTTGAAGCACATTATATCAGAATATGTATTGATCACTCTATTTTGATATGTGTAAATACTGCACACCAACTGAATTTTAAAACGTTGAGTAACTCACCTATATTTGGTAGTTTGCACAAATTTTAATATGACTATATTTGTGTCTATTATAATTTGTAACACTCAGTAAATGATCAATTGAAATAAAATTTTAGTGGAAAGAAAAAATTACTTTTTTCATATATGGTATATTTGAATTTGTATTTTTTTCAGGATGATATATTTAAAATCTGGGGTAGAGAAAGGTAATTTACTATTAAACCTCAAATGTACCATCTACTAAGATTGTTTGTGGGACCTGATTGGAGCTATGGACTTTTCCAAATTTGCAAATTTTGCAATTTAGGCAATTGAATTCCCTTTATTAATAAGATTCTCATGATTTCCAATCATTTTTAGTCCACATTGTTGATCAATTTATCAACCAATCAAATTGCAAGAAAATTTGCACTAACCATTGGTCAATGATCATCCCCAACATTTGGCATGTCATGTGTCTTCTGCAGTAAGTGGATCAACAAAAACTGGGACCTCATCTTAGACCTCATTTTACTATCTCACAACATAAAATTATAAAATTATATAGTAGTAAAGTTGGTGTTGGTAACTGCTTGCAACATCTCAAGTTGCAACTTCTTAGTTGCAGAAGCATATAAGGATACCGGCTGCAACTTTTGATGATGGTTGCTGCCACCTTTACGACCATTTGTTTCCTTTTTTGGATTGCGACATGGAACACTAGAAGCATAACAGAATTTCTAAATGTCAATCATTTTCCAAAAATTGTTACAGAATTATTTATATAATTCCCCGTTTCACTATGTGTCACCAATCAGGATTTTCGTGTAATAAATTCAAAAATAAAAATTCCGGTTTTTTTGTATGTACGCATTATAATGAATTTATAAAATAAATTTATTTAATATATTGGAAGAGGAATATTGAGAATGAGTATATTGTGTATTAACATTAGTACATTGCGCATCGATGAATATATAAACACATTATTACAAAGCATTGTTATAATTTATATTGACATTTATGCTGCTATTATCACCTTTTATGATGATATTTGGCATAGAATCATCATCATTTAAGTTTTCTTCGATAAATAACACATCACTACCCGATTTTTTTTTGGTTAGAAGTTTGAAAGGTTTCTTTAAAACATCATTATTTATTTTTTCGCTGATTTTTAAACCTAAGGTTTTCCTTATAGATGGGCGATTATCGATTTCTTTTAAAGGTTCACCTTGATTGTTTGAAAAAAATTTTCAATATAAATAAAAAATCTTTATAAAGTTACAAGTACCTCGTCAGAATCTGTCTCAATATAAGTTGGATCTTGGTGTTCATCCCCTTCTTCCTGTGTTTATATTTACAAAAAAAAATTTTTTATTGTTAAACACGTAAATAGAACTGTTTTTCTTAGTGCCTCAACATTATATAAATCAAATTGGTGATCCATTTTTTGGAACTGAAGAAATTGAAAATAAGCTTTTTATTTTTCCCCTAGTGGGAAATTTGTATAATTCCTGGATCTTTGTGCAATTACTAATACTAATAGTCATCTTTATACATGGGATGATAATTGTTTTGCCAAAAACATAATACGTAATTACGAAATTATTTACGAATTAATTACGAATGACAAAATTATTCATTATGCATTATAATCATTATTACTATTATTTATTTGTTATTATGATGATACGAATAAAGTTTGTTTGAATTATTTGTTTTATTCATGAATTTGAGTATTATGTTGAAAGTTTATTTGAATAAACGAAATAAAACAGATAAAACGAATAATTCGAATAGAACAAATAATCAAATAATTCAAATAGAACAAATAATAATTCGAATAAAAATAAGAACTTGTATTACGAATAGAAACTCTATGGCTTCTATCCTGCTATGATGTATATTTTATTTTGTTGTTTGAGTAAATGTATTTTTGTCACTATAAGTAATACAGATGGACCCATCTCAACTAAATGTCTATTGCATTAAAGTTTCAGGTGTAAAATGAAATTTTTTTTTAGTCGGCTAAGCCGATAAAATTTCTTAGCCAACTAACATCGCTAATTAAACATACATATTTTAGTAATTAAATTTTTTCACAACGATTTAAAAAAATAAAAATAAAGTAACAATAATCATAATACAAGATATTATTCACTAAACATTAAACAAACCTTTTGATTGCTTGATATTGCGACACTGGTTCTGTATATTCCTGATCTTGGAGCTCCTTATAATCTTTGGCATTTATGTTTTTCTTAATATAGTTTTAGTGTTATTTCATAATCCTTATGCACATAGTGTATAGTTTGCAGCACGGTGAGAGAAAAATTTCCTATGTCCACTATGTGCACTATGCGTGAAAAAAAAATCAAGTTTACAATGAATGGCACATCATTAATCGTCATTATCACCATTTTGATTGTAATACCTTTGAGTATATTTTTTAAAATAAAAACTTAGATAATAACATAGAAAACTTTATTATTAATTAATAAATAATAAATGGTAATAAAGATACCTCTTCAAGTATTCATAACAGATCAATATTATTTAATTTTGTACTGCTCAAATTGACTTGTTTTATTTATGACTTTGACTAATGTAGCAGACAATGTCGTTGAAGTACACTTGGTAAATAATTATCTTTTAATAATACTTGCTCATTTCTTGTTTCAGTTTTTCTTGTCCTCCTTTTCTATACATTATTGTATAAAAATTTTTTTAAAGATAGTTTTTTTAAAAAGAAAAACATATGCTGTATTGCTAAACATTTATTGTCACTAAACATTTATTATTATTCATCATTAATATTGTCGTCATCCGTCATCATTATTGACATTATTATTGTTGTTGTTATCATCTCGTTGTCATTATTACCATCATTATTATTAACAAAAAAAAACCTTGGTCAATTGTATTAATATCAAGCAGTTTTGGTTGTTAATATTGCTATTAATACATACAACCATCTTCTAAAGCGAACTGCCCTACAATCTGTATAATATTAACGAGCTGAAACCTTTTTTACTTGGGTCACCCATCACCATCCCACAAGATTTCTTAAAAATCACTTCATATTCATTTCGATACTGAGAAATGCAGCTCCTTTTAAAAGATTACTATTATTACCGGATAGTTTTTTTAAATAAAAAAGAAAGTGTTGGTAAAGTTCTTCGAAGCAGCAAAAGAAAAAAACATTTCTGATTATAACTTAAATTTTTACCGAAAGGTATTGACATCCCAAGTATCAATTATGCAAAAACGCACGTTATGTAGCTTGTTAATAATTTTATGATAAAAATCAAAATGGCAAATTAGTAAATTACAAGTTGATTAATTTGATGAGTATTATGGAGTTGCCTTTCTAAACTACTTTCAAAGGAGTTTCCTAAGTTAATCCTCGAGTTTCGAAATACAATTCTAGTTGGATGTTTGTAAATGAATTGAATCGAATAAATAAATAAAATCATTTTTAAAAAAAATTTAAATTATATTATTTTAATTACGCGAAAAACCAATTTTTTATTATAACGATTTATACTTTGCATTCATTGCAATTTGACTTACTAATTCTTTGAGTTTTCCTTTTAACCATATATTATTTAAATTTAATTTAATACTTCAATGTCAATTTTTTTAGGCAAAAGTTATCCTCATTGGTCCTATGGAGACTTTATTAAAAAATATCCTGAAGAACCTAAGTATTGGCTTCAAAGCGGCAGGCTTTCGACCTAAAGAATTCCTGCCTATAATCCTAAATTCAATAATGAAAAATGCTTGGACATTTTAAGTAAAAGAGTCTTGAAAAGGATGTGACGGTGTTGGTTATTTCCTGTCCCTATTCTTTTCTATTTTATTTAATATTGATATTAAGTAATCTTGGAAAGGACCTGTTCCTTGATTTCATCTGTCCTTTCAGTTTTATCGTAAACCACCTACCTGTCACACGTCCGTCTTTTTCTAATTTTATACACAAATATTGAATAAACAATGGACAGGCATCAGCTACAATTTCCTGTACCCTGTCCTTTTCTGGACACCCCAACAAAGGAAGAGGATTCTCATATTTCCTTAATTTTTTACAATAATAACTAATATTTCTATATTACGGACACTTTTCTTCAAAAGTTCTCCAAGAAAATCCATCATGACTTCCATAAACAATCAATCAAATTTTATTTTTAAAAAATTCTGAATATTGGATCTTTACCATCATCGGTCCAGCTAGAAATTTGGCGGTAATAAACTGTTTCGTTGGATTTAATATTATTTGTGAATATCATTCTTAATTCAATAACTGATGTTGGTGTAACATCTATAGCTTTAAAAGTTTTTTTTTTTTTTTTTTAATTTGAATTTAGGATTTTTTTATTAATATAAAGTAATGAATTTTTTTTACATTCTAATTTTTTGCGATTCAAGTTATGAATTATTGATTAACTAACTTAACAATTAATTAATCATTCTGTATTAATTAATTATATATATAGCAGTAAAAATATGGCACCTACTAAACCAACAACGGTAATCGATTTAAATTTTTTTTTTACATTCGTCACTTGTTTATATGTTTGTATATATATAAATCATTGTTAAAACAAAACTCTTTTTCATATATATATGTGTGTGTGATATATAGACAAAAGCTAGTAAACCAAGTGCAACTATAAAAAAAGGTGGTGGTGGTGGTACTAGTGGCGGTAGTAAAAAAGTAGTCATTAAAAAAAAATATATAATTGATGCTTCAGAACCTTCTCGTGATAATATCCTTGATACGGCAGTTTTAGTAGGTATTAATTTACATACACACACACACATACATAAATTTCACAATTACATAAAACAATCCAATCAATTATCATCAGCAGCAGCATGGACTAAATTTTTTTGGTTTTTTTTTTAAGGAAAAATTTCTTCATGATAAAATTAAAATTAATAATCGTACAGGACAATTAGGTGATGCGGTAGTAATAACTCGTAATGCTGACGATAAACATAAAATTACCATAACAACAAATTCGCATTTGTTTTCCAAGCGATATATTAAGTATCTTACCAAAAAATTCATGAAGAAAAATCGCATTCGTGATTGGTTACGTGTAGTTGCTACTGATAAAGTGAGTCTATTTTTTTATTGGGGAATTGTAAAGAGAAAAAGAGAAAGATGAATTTTTATATATGTGTCTGTGTGTTTGTATACGTTTATTAATCAAGTTATTTAAAAAAAAATTTCTTTTTTTTGTCCAAATAAATGAATGGATATTATTAGAACACTTATAAAATAAAATACTTCAATATTAGTCCAGATGCTGATGATGATGATGACGAATAAAATAAAAACAACAAATAAACGATTTAATCGAGAAATAAATAGTATATTTTTTTTTATTGATTAAATATTTTTGTTTTGTTTAATTAAAGCAAAAAATAAAAAAAATATATCATTAAAATCTCAACAGTGGAACATACATAAATAAATATAATAAAATATAAATTATTAAACATTCTAAAGATTAAAAACGGTTCTCATCTAATCCATCCACTCGCAACTCATCTATCTATCTATCTACTCATCCCATTAAATTAAATTGAAAATTAAATATAATCCAACATCAATTCATTCAGTTCCAAAAGATTTTCATTATACAATCTTCTATTTGATGAAGGGCCATCGCCTCTATTTGATGTTGATGATATCACTTCGTTCGGATCTATTTTATAAAAAACTTCCAACAATAATTTATACTCTTCAAATGTAAAAATTGGTTCATTTTTTTTAATTTGTTCCAACATTTTCTAAAATTTTATGGCCACAAAAAAAATTTTTTTTTTTGCAAAATAAATAAATGCCAAAAAGATAATATAACAGTGACAATAATGTAATAATGAATTGAAAGATTGTGCTTACGGTAGGTCCAATATTATATAATTCATAATAAATCCTTGATTTATCCAATGAAATTTCTTTTGGTACTTCAACAATATTTTTCAAATTTTGTTGTAATGCCAAAATATTACGAGTCATTTTTGATACACCGTTACTATTTAAATTTCTAAGAAATGTTGCATTATTAATCAATACATTCTGCATTAATGAATCCAATCCTTCAAATATAAATCTGATGAAAAAATAAAAAACCCCGAGATAAAGTAATAATAGCATTAATTATATAATAAAAAAATTTTTGCCGAAATTTTGTTTGTAATTATTTATATATATAAATATAAACTTTACTCACTTATGTTCCCGTGCTGATAAACATGATGCAATGCTTTCATCAAATTTTACAATATCAGAGTTTAATTCTATTACATACGGATCTGGTTCATAAGCTTCATAATCAAGTTGATAATTACCCTATAAAAATTAAAATAAACAAACAGCTACATTGTTATAAATATTATTAATACTCAAACATTTATAAATATATTATCATATACCTCTCTAGTGGCCAAGTCTAAGAAGTGTAAGGCATGACATCTTAATTCAACTCTTAGAGTGAATAAAGATTGTTCCGCTAATTGTTTAAATGTAGCTAGTAATGCATTAAAACGACTAAATTTATATATATATATATATATACATATTAAAATAAAAATAAAAGTGTTTTAACATTTAATTAATTAGAAATCGTATATGGTAATTCTTTTTACTTTTCCATTTCTCCAGTAAGTGGCAAAACAGCCTTATCATCGTCTTTCTCTCCACCGTTTACACCAATAGCATCATTTAAAGATGACCAACGCCTATTTATCTTTGCCTAATTGATATGCATAAATTGAACAAGTGAGAGAGGAAGGGAGTTTAATTGGTTGTGTGAAATAATAACAAATAACCACAATAATAATAATTTACCAAACTTCTATCATCCAAATTAGCTTTTGAAACTTGACCACGTAATTCCCAAATTTTAGCAACCAACCATCTCTATATAAAACAAAATTTTAATTTTCCCATACATTATTAGCATCCCATGAGTTAAAAGCCATGAATTACACAATCATATTATTCACTTACCAAACTATGATACATATTAGCCAGTGCCTTCAATTTTTTAGAATCCATAATCAATTCACTAAGTCTTATTTGACGATTTTTTTTCAAACGTAATTCAATTTCTGTTTCCTATTAAACAATTAGAAAAAATATCTTAATACAATTCTTTCCAATAAACCTTTTTTTATATATAAAATAAATACCGACTTTATCGCAAAGTGCTTTTCTTTTTTGGTTAGTTCTAACACTATCATCAAAAGCATAAGGATACTGATACAAAATCTCCGAGACATGTTCATGCTGTACCCAAGTAGCACTAAGACCCTGTTGATTAGCCATGGATGAAGCTCTTCTTTCCGACATTTCATTACCAGCATCATTTGGTGAAGGGGAACTCTTGGATACAATTGCTGTAATAATAATAATAATAATAATGTATTGTTATTTTCTTAATAAATGATTTAGACGAACTAGGTAAATGATGGTGAGTAGTTGTTTACCTTGAAAATATTCAAAGCATTTTACATAATATTGTGTGCACAAAGTAATAATCATACTATTAAATTCCTCATTATTTTTTTTCATTGTTTGAAGCAAACCACATAAATTTTCTATAATCATAATGACTGAAAATGTACTCTTTGTACATATAATAATATATTACGAATGATTGAATCAAATAAAATGATTAAGCAAGTAATTGGATAAAATAAACAATTATTAAATTTATTAAATTAAGAATTGCTATAAATAACAAATCAAATAGAATATTACTGTTATAAACACTGACTTTGACAACTGGTAACGGGCTATATGTTTTATAATTTGGATCTTCTTGAAATGCTTCAGTATCTAATTATTACATGATAAAAAAATATATAACATTATTACAGTATGATAATAAAATAATAATAATCATTTATTATTATTATGATTTATACAAACCAGTTGTAACTTTATGAAATAATTCAAATATTTTATCCCCGATTTGTGGTAGAAAAACATTAAAGACAAAATCATCCAGAAATGCAGTAAAATCTGTAGAAGATGATTCACTTGTACTAATAAATAAAATAAAGTAAATAAATATGTTCGCGTCCACAAAATATAAAACTTGCCACTCATTCACCAAATAATTAATCCCCACCAATATACATTCATCCATACATCATCATCATCGTCACCGCCATCATCATCGTACTAATACTTTACCTATTTGGAATAATCGTTTTAACTTTTTCCAAAAACTCCAAAGTAGGTTTAAACAACACCGAGATGTTAAAAGCATCCGGTCTAACCACAAGACGATGACCAGCTGACATCATATTTGAATTATTATTGGCAAATCTATCAACTACAAAAACAGATAATTGCCTCTCGTCAACGTCTTTTTTTGAAAATATCTCTGGCAGTGATTGTTTCAACGATTTGGTAACATTGTTCTCATATTCTTTGTCAAGCTCTAGAAATGATTTTGCGTCTACATCACTAAATCTAAAAATTTGCTAATGATATTAATTGATAAGTCGGGGGAGAGGAAGAAGGATAATAGTGAATTGGAATTTGGAATTGGATTTATTCATTAGTTATCAGATATTTAGTCATCGTTTATCGGCAATCATTTGTCATTTTCACTCACTTTAGTAGCATCTCTTGCTTTCTTATCTTTGATTAAATCTTGCATTGAAGCTTCAGGAGTAGTCATTGAAACAGATTCTTTTTCATCATCGGTTATATATTCTCTTAATAATGAACGAACCTTTGGGTAGGAGGGAAAGAAAAATAATAATGATATTTCAGATTTGAAATTAAGAATAAAATTATAATTATAATTACAACAATTAACCAATTTATTAATTACTACTCACTTCATTTTGAACTGGTTTCCATATCTCAATGAATGGATAAACTTTTATTATTTGAGATTCTATTAATCAATTATTATTTAATTATCAGAAATCCATTTATACTATATAATATCATAATAATAATGAATGCTGGATAATAGGTGTATATATACCTTCCGTGGTCTTATTATTAGAAGGTCTCTATAACATCAATCAAAAAAAAATCAGATTTAATAATAATAAGACTAATAGTAGTAATACTAATAATATACAATTTCACTGTTTATTATTTAATTATTACTATTCTAATTTCTAACCTTACTAATTCTTTCAACTACTTCAAGTGCAAATCTATGGCCTTGCAGCACAGCATAAAATTTCGAGTAAAGAGTCCATAACAAATCTTTTAAGATTTCCATTTGAACATCGTTTTCCGAACTTTCCAGCGTGTATAAATCTGTTATATCAAATCTCTTTGTATTGTGTGTTTTAATAATATCAACATATCTAGTAACAATAGGAACAGTGAAGAATATAATGAAAAAATATTATACAGGTGGGTTGGTAGATCCATAATGACCAGACATCTTCAAGATTTTTAAAAAAGAAGCAATAAAGGAATCAAACAAAATAAATGGTCCACTAACCTTGCCTCAACCTCTGCAACTGTTTTATCTACTAATTGATACAATTCCACTGGAATTCTTTGAGTAATTTTCTATTAATTAATGCAATATTCAAAATGTAATTGTGTGAGCAATCAAGTAAGCAATTGATTGATTAATTATTATTTTGAAACTTACTTCAAGTACTTGAGGCAATTTACCGAGAACAGCAAGAGATTCCAATAAGATTTCCATGTAATAAAAAGAATCAGTTTCTGGATTTATGTCAAGATTTTCTTTAATCTATTTATTATAATAAAATCATTCAAGTTAATTAAATAATAGTATTCTCTTATCATCAATATAAATTATCAGTTGGTGTTTACCATGTCATCTTCATCATTTAAATTCATAGTTGTAAATACTGCTTTGGGAGATTTTGGACTAAATGGTACGTTAGATGGTGTACTAGTGTTGACTAAAATCTATTAATAAGCTTATTGTTTGTAATTACCATAACAATAATGGAAAATTGAAATGCACAAACTTATATAGAAATATAGATACAGATAGAGGTAATCTTTACCTTGTAAGTTCTTTTTATTACGAACATTTGTCATATAATTTGCTTTGCGAGTTTCTTTTGTAGTCATATCCCATTCCATTGGGGGTGACGGTACTGATTATTTGTTTGAGGTCAATTATGAAAAAAAGGAATTTTTAGTTTTTTTTTTTTTTTAAAACCAATTAAGATTTTCATTAAATAAATAATCTTACAAGTAATCTGATCTATTGTATATTGCACCCAACGACTATCACAATATGAGCTTTTAAGATATAAATGATTATGTAATTCTTCAATTAAAAGTTCATGAAGAGACTAAATATATTATTTGATAAGCGAAGAAGGATTTAATGATGATGATGATGATGATGATGATGATGATGATGATGTATTATTTTTAATCAAATAATTTACCGTTTGTTGAGCTTTCAAATATCTTCTTAAATCTGATAAAGCACCAACACCAGCCATTTCTTTTTTTTCCATAACACGTATAGAATCCAATAACATTCTACTAGCAGTTAGAAAATGTTTTTCTCTCAATAAAACTTCTAATCTAGAAGGCGTTTCTTTAAAATCCTCGCTATTTAATATGAATGTATACGAGAAGAAGAGTTATGAAATTTAATTAAATTAAACTAAAACCACAACAACTCAATAATTACATCAAGTCCAGAATACGAATCATTTCTTTATATTGTTGACTACGAAACCATAATTGCAGTAGATCTGAACGTTTTGATAACAGTATTTCTTTAGATGCTTTAAGATTTGATTTCATTTCCTTTACTCTTTCTTGAGAGTCTTTTAAAAATTAAAAGATATTTGAATCATGCTGGTGAGCAAATCTCTAGACATGATTATGATTATACATTTTGCTTACTTATACTCACCACTAATATTATTGATCACACCACCAAATGTACCAATTGAACTATTAAACCCCTGGTAATATTCTATCAACAATAAAATCAAACAAATTAATTGATTGATAAGGACTGATTAATCAATCACACATCGTTAATTTTAGTTACCATTAACAATTGCTTGTAAAGCATTATCAAGATTTGATTTTATTCTTTGGAATGCATCATAATCCCTTCCCAATGAACTGGCATCAAGTAATTGCAATGAAAGTGGGACAGGATTGAACTGTTAATCATCAAATAATTAAAAAAGAATTAATTAAGAAGGAAGAAATTTGAAAATCAATAAATTAAAAATCCTCCGATCAATTGACAAAAATTACATCTTCATCTATCATAAATTCCCAACTATTATTAATCTGTTTCATTACAGCTAAATAAAAGGTCATTAAATTACAATAATTAGTATAGTAATTGGTAATTAATCTTGAGGGAAAAATTAAAATCTTTATAGAAATCACCTTCAATTTCTTTAAAGCCATCCTTAATTCCACTATTAACATTTCTATTATATTGTTGATTATTATTATTACTATATTGCTGATTATTATTATTACTATTATATTGTTGCTGTTGTTGATTAATATTTGGATTACTATAATTTAAATTTTGATTATAAGTTCTACCATAATTAGCCATATCTTGTTTTTTTTTTATTTAATTTATTAATTGGATTAATTTAATTAGAATGAAGAAAAAAACAAAAGGCTTGAATTTTTATAATATATAAACTTTAAAATGATAGCTGTTACACAAAACGTAGCATTTTTATTGATAAAAATTTTTTTATATATAGTTAGTAGTAGTATAAATACACGACTAGTTGGCTTATATTTGAGTGGATATATTATCAATACTGCTGCACAATTTCTTCTCCATCAAATATAAACAAAATCAAGTACAACATGGCAAAGATACATATATAATACGCCAACGCTGCACTCATTTCAAATATCTCGGACTTTAAAGGAACCTGCTTGATGCAGATCCCAAGAATTACAACCAAAGTCACGTGAAGATTTGCAGCCGATGTGACGATCCCTCATGCTTGATACTACTGGTTCTAACCAATTATCAACAAGACCAAACAAAAATATTTGAGAACCGGAATTACGGCAAACGTTATTCATTCATTGTCTTCTTCTCCTTGTGAATTCAAACTCCAACTCAAACTGTAAACTTAAACTGTCTTGTATAACTAACTTTCTAGAACTATTAAAAGATCTTCGAATGTCATTTGATATCGCTGATATAGCAATACATTGTTAAGTTCAAACGAACTTGGTACGTCGTATGCTGTAATTAGAATTAAAGATAAATATCAACCAAATATCTATGAAGGAACAAAACTACTCTGAAGCAAAGCCAACAATCGTTCAAAATTGGTTTAATCATGTTATCATGTTGTCAGGCCAAGCGCATTAACAGAACAGACTTGGAATTAAAATGGAGATCGGCTAAACTGATAGAGCTCAATTGGAAAAATTAAAGACCACCAAAGAGATTATTTAAGAGCATACACACGATAGCGTAATTCGGTAAATCGCAATAGGAATCATCCATCACAAACTAGTGATCATGTCAATGCAAGCAGGCAGGAAATTCCAAGACAAGATGTCAAGTGGCAAATTAATGATAAATTCCGAATTTTTAAAAAAAAAAAACAAAAAAAAAACAAAAAGACCAAGTTTCAAATGGCAGATAATATGGAGAAGATATGGCAAGCAACTCAGACACAGATGCTTGTCGAATTATTTAGTATTGGGCATGCGCATATGCTTGATTGTCACAATTGCATTATTGGGGTACTTGCATGAACTTTGTCCCCTAAAAACGGTTGACACATGAGAAAAAGTCTGTGCAATAAAACATCTACATATTGATATATAAAAAGTAATTTGTATTAATATTAATCATTCACCCACTCTCATCCTAATACCTAATTATTACATTATCATTGTATTTATACTGTACTCCACACAATACAAATTTGAAAATTTTCCGCCAAAAAAAAAGTTGAGGCAAAATGATGAACAAAAACGAAGTAAATATGTACGTAATATCATTGTTTAAAATATATATTTTACCATAAACATTAAAACATCAACATCATCATATTATTTATATACCTTATTTATTTTACAACCTATCAAAAAAATTACATTCACTTTCCCAATCATTATTAACTAAGTTAGTCAGATAATTGACTCTAGCTTGCATTTTTTTAAATTGAGACAAAATAGTTTTTATAAAATAATTTATTTTTAAATGACACTCTAATTGGATTTTATTTATTAAATAAATGCTAATTTGTTAATATTTTTATTTATATTTGTATTTTATTTATTTTATTTGTTTTATTTCTATTAGTTATTATTTTAATTATTATTAATTATTTTAATTTTAATTTAATTTAATTTAAATTTATCATTATTGTAGCTCAATTACTAAATTAAAACAAGCACTCAGCTCTCTATCCAACAAAACTTGTAAAGTTACTCATTACTCATAAATAAACTTTTTTTAAAATCATCATTATAAGCTACATATACATATATACCAACAACATAATATATATATAAATGCATAAATACTGATATTCCTATTTTTTTTTGAAAATTTTTTTTTCCTTTTCTTTTTTCTTTAAATTATTTTTTTTAAAAAAATTTACCAACAACTCACAACAAATTTGAGATTTAGAAATTAATTATAAATTAAATTTACACATAAATTGTAAACTATAAAAATATAACAATATAAAACCAACCGTTTAAAACAATAGATTGTTAACCAATATATATATACACACATACATACTTTTGTTATTCTATTATATATTATCACATTGATATATTCATTATTATATACATAAATTATACATAAATTACATAAATTACATATATATAATAAAATATTATATATGGTTTGCCTAAACTGTTAATTCCATATTTTTCCCAATTTTTCCCTTCGTAAAGTTTTTTTTGAAAGAAAAAATTATTTTTCTTTTCTTTTACACTCCAAGATAAAGTGAAAGGAGTTAAATTTCTTTGGCGTTCCTCCTCTCCTTCCTCCCCACCCCCACCACCACCTTCTTCTTTACCACCTTCTTCACCTTCCACTCCTTTGAAAATTTCCAAAATTTTTTCTTCCACAATTAAAAAATTTAAGAAAATGACTGGCTCATCATCGAAAAATAAAAAACAAACCACTTCTGATACTATTATCAAAGACAACAATGACGAAAACGATAAAAATAAAAACAAATCCGATGATAATAACAATAATCAAAACACATCATCATCCATAATAATAAATAAGAAATTACCCGCCATTCCAACAACCGCCGTCACCACATCACCAACAAATAAACGTGTTGAACACGTTAAATCATTATCAATATCATCATTATCATCATCAAGAGCGTCAATATCATCATCAAAAGCATCGATATCATCATCAATGCAAGAATCATCAAATAAAAATATAATAAGAAATGATGATGATGATGATGATAATGGTGATGATGATGATAATGATGATAATGATGATGATGATGATTATAATAATAATTATGACAAAGAAGAAGGCGCAGAAGAAGAGGAAGAGGACGAGGAAGAAGATGAACAGCCAATTGAAATGGAGAATGTTGGAGAGAGTGAGTATAGTAGTTATAATCAATATAATGATTATGATTATAATCATCATCATCATTATTATCATCATGATCATAATAATAATAATAATAATAATTACTATGATAGTTATGAAGTTGATGATGATAATTATTATGATTATTATAATAATAATTCATTTATTTTACAAAAAGAAACATCACCAACTTCACAAGAAAATGATAATCGACCTCCTTCACCCCCTCCTTCACCCCCTTCAGATGAAGATGGCAATGATGAATTTAACAATGACAACCAAGAAGAAGACGATAAAAATATTTCATCATCGATAATGGTAATAAATTCATCTACATCTTCACATCGACAACAAAATCAACAAAAAGAATCGATATCACAACAACAACGCCCTCAAGCTCCTCCGCCACAATCACAAACACCACAACCGCCTCACTCATCTTCACATCACGCATCAAATTTTATAAAATCGATAATACATAGAAATCCACCTCCTACACCACCACTACCGCCAACACCACCCACACCATCATCACCTCATCATCAAACTATTGACAAATCATCATTACCAACATCACCTCATCATCATCATAAACGTAAAAATTATTTTAAAATGGCTTCCCGTTTTGTATTAAGACAAAGAAAATCTTTTATAAAATCTCATCATAAAGAATCTGATAAAAAACCTTCAAAAAATGACAATCAATCATCTAATGGCACAACAAAATTACCTCAACAAATACCTCCTATACTGCCAGTCCTAGAACCTTCACAACCAATATCTCATGAATTGCCACAAGAATATTTTCCTGAAGACTTTGAAGATGAATTTGATGATGATGATTATGACAATAACATTGACGACGATCAACGATCTGATACACATACAACACCTGAATTGACGATAGATGATTTGTATCATTTGATGTTAAATATGCAAAAGGGATTTCAATTACAAATCAAAGAATTAACCAAGCAGGTGAAGGAGATCAAAAAAGATATGAAAAAAATGAAGAGTGGTGAAGATGGCGACGAAGATGATGGTGAGGAAGATCAGAATGTTGAAATAGATGATGATGATGATGATGATGATGATGATGATGATGTTAATGAATATGAGTATCAGTATGATGGAACTGGCAGAAGAATTGGTGTTCGAATCGCGTCACGTAATTCTTATTCACGTAATACAATTTCACGTAATACAATTTCACGTAATACAATTTCTCGTAATTCAAATTATAATACTGGTGCTGGTGCTGGTGTTGGTGTTGGTGCTGGTGTTGGTGCTGGTGTTGGTGCTGGTGCTGGTTTAGGAATTAGTAGTGCAAGTAGTAGTCTGGGAAGAAGAGGAGGAGGAAGAAGATTGGCGATGATGAAGAAGGCTGTAGCGGCTGACCAGGACGATGATGACGATGATGATCTGGAATATTTAATGTCAAAAAGGAGTGGCACTGCAACTAGTTTTAGAAGTAATATATAGCACAACCGGAAAATAATGAAAATAGTAGTTGAAAAAACCATTTTATAAATATACACATGTATTTTAGAGTTAGATTAAAAAAAAAGTTAGTTTTTAAAAAAAATTTATTAAATTTTTTTTTTTTTGTATATTTTTTCGCTTTTTTTTTGATATAAAATAGACAACAGACATTTATTAATAATCAATAGTTTAAAAAGAAAAAAAAGAAAAAATTTAATAATAAAAAAAATATAGTAATATAATTTAATAAATAGAAGTTTTTTTAGAAATTTCTCAATCCACTAAACGTGAAATGGAAATTATTTTTTTTATGAATGAATGGCTGGATGAATAAAATCTTAACCTTAATATTTAATTAATCCATGTCAATTAATTAACGCTAACGTTAATTGAAGCTTGTCTTACAAACACATATTAACATTGTCATATAAATAAATAAATAGGTCAATTAGATCAAATGTTTTATTTATAAACAAGAAAATAACATTAATTAATTGTGTATAACAACCAGGGCTGACCGCGTAACTCAAGTGAGCATTTGACTAAACTGACTACTCAACTGTATATTTATTTGCCATATTAACACGTTAAGTCAAGTTTTATCAAGTTTTGTCAAGTAAATCATTACTTAATTCGGATTTACGCCGCTGCTTGCCCTTGATAAATTAAGAATTTTATTATGAATATTTTTTTTTGGCAGTTTTAGAGCTTAAAAAACTACCAATATATTATTAAAATTCTTTGTGTTCGCATTGCCAATATTAATATGACAAATACATGCAAAGAAATTAATTTGAAATAAATAAATCTTTTTCTTTACTATAAGACAAAATTTTTGTTTAATGTATTAGAAATTCTGTATAATAATTCTATTTGGATTTGCATTAGGAACAACGTAAAAAAAAAAAAACACCACAAACAACCTCGAGCTCAATAGACAAATCGACCATAGATAGTCCATAGTTATGATATGTGCTTGATAGACATTCATAGCTTTAGGCTTTGAGTTTTATTAACTGCTTGATAAACATTCATAATCCACCCCATGTTTGATGAAAGTTAATTTTGTGGATTGTCGAATGGAATTTCCCTTGGCTTTTTTTTACTTTATAAACCAAAAAATTGATGAAATAATTAATGAAATAGAGCCTCGAAAAGCCAAATTAAAAAACGTAAATCAAGCAATCTAATTAGCAATCGAAAATATTTGGAAGGCATTGAAAGATTTTAAACATTATTTGATCAAAAAGCTGAGCAAGACTCGGATTTTTCATTTTTAACGAAATTATAGTTGAAATTTATTGTGTCTTCTGCAGTAAGTGGATCAACAAAAACTGGGACCTCATCTTAGACCTCATTTTACTATCTCACAACATAAAATTATAAAATTATATAGTAGTAAAGTTGGTGTTGGTAACTGCTTGCAACATCTCAAGTTGCAACTTCTTAGTTGCAGAAGCATATAAGGATACCGGCTGCAACTTTTGATGATGGTTGCTGCCACCTTTACGACCATTTGTTTCCTTTTTTGGATTGCGACATGGAACACTAGAAGCATAACAGAATTTCTAAATGTCAATCATTTTCCAAAAATTGTTACAGAATTATTTATATAATTCCCCGTTTCACTATGTGTCACCAATCAGGATTTTCGTGTAATAAATTCAAAAATAAAAATTCCGGTTTTTTTGTATGTACGCATTATAATGAATTTATAAAATAAATTTATTTAATATATTGGAAGAGGAATATTGAGAATGAGTATATTGTGTATTAACATTAGTACATTGCGCATCGATGAATATATAAACACATTATTACAAAGCATTGTTATAATTTATATTGACATTTATGCTGCTATTATCACCTTTTATGATGATATTTGGCATAGAATCATCATCATTTAAGTTTTCTTCGATAAATAACACATCACTACCCGATTTTTTTTTGGTTAGAAGTTTGAAAGGTTTCTTTAAAACATCATTATTTATTTTTTCGCTGATTTTTAAACCTAAGGTTTTCCTTATAGATGGGCGATTATCGATTTCTTTTAAAGGTTCACCTTGATTGTTTGAAAAAAATTTTCAATATAAATAAAAAATCTTTATAAAGTTACAAGTACCTCGTCAGAATCTGTCTCAATATAAGTTGGATCTTGGTGTTCATCCCCTTCTTCCTGTGTTTATATTTACAAAAAAAAATTTTTTATTGTTAAACACGTAAATAGAACTGTTTTTCTTAGTGCCTCAACATTATATAAATCAAATTGGTGATCCATTTTTTGGAACTGAAGAAATTGAAAATAAGCTTTTTATTTTTCCCCTAGTGGGAAATTTGTATAATTCCTGGATCTTTGTGCAATTACTAATACTAATAGTCATCTTTATACATGGGATGATAATTGTTTTGCCAAAAACATAATACGTAATTACGAAATTATTTACGAATTAATTACGAATGACAAAATTATTCATTATGCATTATAATCATTATTACTATTATTTATTTGTTATTATGATGATACGAATAAAGTTTGTTTGAATTATTTGTTTTATTCATGAATTTGAGTATTATGTTGAAAGTTTATTTGAATAAACGAAATAAAACAGATAAAACGAATAATTCGAATAGAACAAATAATCAAATAATTCAAATAGAACAAATAAT